AGCAGCCTCACCACCAGCAGCGGCGGCAGCAGGAGCAGCAGCAGCAGCGGCAGCACCACCAGTGGGGACGGTGGCAAGCTTCCCAGAACCCTCGGCAATGAGCTGAAAGAAAAAAAAGAGGTGAAGGCGATGTCAGCGTGCGCTTCATAAAAAGAGTGTAGTGAGGAAAAAAAAAAAGGCGCGCGCAAGAGCAGAACATGTATAGATATATGTCGTAGATTGCGACACGGTGTCCGGCATCTTCCCATAATCGGCTTGCAAATCGGCTGAAATAACTAACCTCGTCGATGTTCTTGCCCTTGACTTCGGCGATAAGCTTGTCAAGACGCTCCTGGTCAGCATCAATACCGACGGAGGAAAGGACAGTCTTGATGTCCTCAGCAGAGGGCTCGGCGTTGCCGGCCTGCTTAAGAAGAAGGTAAGCTGCGAGATGCTTCATTTTGAATCTGGTTGAGAATGAAGAATGAATAAATGAAAAGGTCAAATATCAGTAAGAGCACTTCTTCAAAAATTCAAGTGGGAAAGGGGGAACTTTGTAGCTGGCTGGAACAAACGCACATATAATTCTTGTCTGTCTTTTTATACAAAAGAAAACGAACGGGAGAATCAATCGATTTAACCGCAGATATTGAGGCGGAGACTGAAACGTCGAGTTCGTGCGGAGGAATGAAGATGGCTTGTAGAGAAGACAAGAGAGGAGGAGTAGTAAGAGAGGAAGAAGGCTGCGGAAGAGAAGGAGAAGAAAGGGAAGCCTTCCAGTAGTGATTCCTTGCGCCGATAACCAAAAACGGGAACAACAACAGGGAAAAAAAAAAAAAAAAAAAGATTGTGTGGGTCACCGTTGAATTCGGAGTATATAGATATTCCGTTACCGATACCCAGAACATTCTGCAGATGGCTAGTCATACCTTGAGTGCAGTTCTGAATATTCACGTGACAATCACTGACTAGCTGTGTGGTATTCTGTCGCCGTAAAGCCGTGAATGCTGAGAGCTGGTCGATGCTGGGTGTGTGTTTGTTTTGCCTGCTTTTCCAGCTTTATTACTTTCTTGCTTGATGCTTGATGCTTGATGCTGATGCTTGATGCTGATGCTTGATGCTGATGCTTGATGCTTGATGCTGATGCTTGATGCTTGGTTGTTGCTATCCTTGTCGTCTTGGAACTACCGCATTGATTGCTCGGACACCCAATTCTTATATAAACGCCTCCTGACTTGCTGTCCTTTTGTTTCTCTACTTCATTCTTCTTTTCTCCATCATCAACTCAGCTTCCTTTTCCTACTATTCATTCTTCTACTATTCCCTCCCTTGATATTCGTCTTCTCCTCATTGTTTGCGTTGTACACGTCTTTCATTCTCTTCATTCTACTCTTTTTCTTTCTACTCACTTTAATTTTTCTTGCTGGCGGGCATATTGATCTTTTAATCCCGCGCCATTGCGGCTCGAAACGTTCAAAAATCCCTTGCTCTTTCTCTCCTCTCTTCTCCACCTTCCATCCATTAGCGGTTGTGTCTTGGGAGTATAGGAAAGAAAAAGAAAATGCTAGAATCCTCATAGGGGCTAGCAGCTTGAGTTGATATGAACTTGTTTCTTTTCAACAGACAAGTGTTCTTTGTGTCTCTTCCTCCTAGTCCTCCTAATTCCATCTACTCTACTTCGCCGCGCCTATCTTTCTGCGTATATCTATTCTATACATTATGAGTGTATGTGAGATTCAAGGGGGGAAAGAAACAGGGAGTGAGAGAGAGAAAAAGAGAGAGAAAAACAGAAAGAAAAGAAAGGAAAAAAAAAAAAGAACCAAAAGAATAAGAACGGAATACTCTCCAGATCCCTGCACTAGGTTTCACAGGAGTATGATATCTTTTCGACTACTAACGCTCTCATCTCGCAGTTTCTGAACTCCATCATATCGTCTATTGAGACGAAAGATCCTTCAAAATACGCTCCGCCCCCTGCGCCCGCTCGGAAGCCTAGACAGCCTTCCGCTTCAGCCCCTGGCTCTGCCAGATCATCCGCTGACACCGAGCAAAGAGATAGGGAGCGATCTTTGTCAGCTTCGAGTTCCGGTGTGAAGCGAAGAGCTGATACCGACTGGCGCAATGAGGATATTCGTGCAAAGGTCGCGCGCTCAGATGCTGTGACAGTCAAATCTGCTCCGCGGGAATTGCCACAGTCAAAAACACTCGCAGCTACGGCTACAACTAAGGCTACGGCTTCATCTCAGCTGGAGCCAGGAGTCATGAAGCCAGGAGTCGTGAAACCAGGAGTATCCAAGCAATTTTCTCTTGTTTCTAAAACGCCAGTGTCCAAGACTCTACCTACTACACCGTCGTCTTCTGCAAATCCCGTCTCTGCTGGGCAGACTAAAGCAATTACAGCGGCAAAACCGATCAATGCGTCCCTGTCTACATCAACAACAAAACTAGCAACAGCGACGTCGAAACCAAATGCATCCATCCCTGCTACTAAACCATCTGCGGCAACAAAGCCGGCACCTCCTGCGCCTGTACAATCCAAGCCACCGCCAAAGGGTTCTTATGCTGAAATAATGGCTCGGGCTAAAGCATTACAAGAGAAAGCACCTGCACCTCCAGCGGTTGGCCTGATCAAGCATCAACCACAAACAAAGGAACGCCTCAGCAAGGCGCAATTGAAGAAAAAAGCCGAAGAAGCTAAGCTAAAAGAACGCGAGGGGGCTAAGGCAAAGAAAGCGGGTGGGAAACTCAGTCGGTCAAGTTCTGATATCTCAACCCATGAAACAAGGCAGGAGAGACTGAAGGCGTTGAAGAAAGCGGGTGGTCCAGAGTATAGGGGTACGGCCAGGCCGCCCGCAGCTGCCCCTGAACCTCCTGCATATAAAGGTACAGCCCGGAAGCCACCACAAGGTCGGGCGAACGGATCAAGGCTCAAGTCAGGACGAAACAGTTCTACGAGAAGGAGTCACCTTGATAAGTATCTTGGAACCGACGAAGAAGATGAAGGTGGTGACTACTTTGGCGGTTATGATGATTACTACTCGGAATCATCAGATATGGAAGCAGGTATATCTGATGTGGAAGAGGAAGAGGCGTTGGCTCTCATGTATGCGAAGAAGGAAGATGAGGAAGAATTGAGAGCTGAAATGGCAGCGAAACGAGAGAAACTCGAAAGGAAAAAAAGATTTGCTGCGGCAGCTGCTAAACGCTAATTCTTGCCGTCTACATCCGCCTTTTGCGCCATGCCGACTTCCCATCATCATCATCATCATCATCATCATCTCACATTAAGCATCCAGTCGCTCATCCGGTCTGTGCTATCTCGCATAAGCATATCCACCTTCCAACCATATAACGGGGCAGCATTATTCCCCACATTGCTAAACATCATTCCGCGCTCCTTGGAAACCACTATAATCATCTTCTCAGTCAATTTTGTTTGCTCCATATTTCACTTACCACTGATTGAATAAGCTACGGAACGATAGAGCATGGGTGTTTCTTCCTTTTTTTTTTTTTTTT